ATTACGTATACATATATTACGTATTCAAACCTGTCGCGGTGTTCTCGATTTTGGTGGTCAAGGCTATCTCATTGTCGCAGGATTTCCGCTGGCTACAGAATAAATTGTTGATAGCTGTGCAGTGTGTAAATATTGAGTGCTATGTTTGTCGTATCTGGTAGTACCCTGTATTTATTCAGGCTGGTTAACTCGTTTGTCGGCAATCGAAATGTGTGTTGCTCATTTTGCTCCAAAGACTTGTTATCCTGCAGATATTTCCATCTGCATATTGCTGTTCCCAGAAAAGTAGTTGCACTGCTCAAGTTCCCATCTCTCACCACACTTCTTCATTCCTGTCTGTTCTCTGGTATACCTCAATGTCCTTTTGGTTTACCCGCCATCGTTGAGGATTAAAACCTCCAATACTTTCCAACATATCAAGAACCTATTCATCCCGTCGCCGTCGCCGTGATTTTATCCTTTCTTAGGATACCACTTGACCCCAGCAAAATTATTCTCGGGGTCAATTATCTTTGCAACTGAGATAAGTCGAACGCGCACAGCGGGATATACTTAGAGATCCAGTTAGCATCGTTATAACACACGTTGCAGTATAACATTGTCAGAAGATCTTTTTACTTTCGACATGGAAGAATCATCCACTATATACATATTGATATTCCGCATAGTTTCTGAATAGGGCATAAATACGAACAATCACATAGGATCTGCGCTCCTTCAGATAGATCACATTCGCTTCTTCCCTGTATAGATAGCTGTAGATATGTGTGTGTTACTGTTGAGGCCTGGCTTTCAATGTGTAGTAGTAAATATTTTCCTCAAGCAAGTTTAACAAGTCACTTCTAACAAAGGTGACAACTAACAACTGATATTAATCTGACTGGCTAACTTTCAGTAGGTTTCCGACACGTTGTAAAGGGGTGTCAGAATTTAGACGTAACGCTTATGTAGCGAGGTGTCGTTTTCAGAAACAAAACTATCTTACTGCCAACCTTGAACCTGGACAATGCCGTTTTTTTGCATGTCGAGATATGCACACGAATATATTCAAAAGCAGGGGAGGAAAGTGGGAGCATGTTGAACATAAAGTGGATTGAAATATAAACTGTGAGTAAATTTCTTTGTTCCTTCTAAATTTGTTTTGTTTGAAATAATTTATTTCATAAAATACTATTATGTTTTTAAAAAACAAGATTGTTTGTTCACAAAAGGCGTCGTTTTGGAAGCACAAAATATATATATATATTTATTTGGTAAACAAAAAAACAATTTTTTTATATATACATATTTACATACATATTTAGAGAAGAAGGCTATCCTACAGATTAATTTGATTGGTCAAATAGTTCCCAATGAGGATTCACTTTTTTTAAACATAACATATTTACTCAATACAGTTCTGAGTACACCAGCGGAGTGCTCAGTGCTCTCTCTCTCTGTTTTGTAAAAACAAAAACAAAATAGAATGTGTGACTAGTGACTACACACTCCTGCTGCCTGCTGGCCTGCAGTACAGTAAAATAGTATTTAAAAATACACACTACATACTGCACAGTGTACAGTGCACAGTGCAAACTGCACAGTGCAATGTGGCAATGTGCTCTCACTGCTCTGATTCCATTTTTCCAATATTTAGTTTGACTTTTGGAGAAAAGCCCAATTGCCCGAATTTTTTACTTGGGACTTTTTCTTTGAGTATTTCTAGTTTTCTACACTACATATTTACTTTGCGAATGCGTGGTGTGCTAACTGCTACATACCGTCGGCGTCAAGTTGTCACGACGCCATATTCTTCGGTATATAATAGGACCGCCTTCTAGAGGCAAAGTATCAAATAAACATATGTAAACGTGAGCTATGATTAGGCATTCCATACAAAATGCGTCAGTTTGAGGTATTACGACTATTTTTACAGCAAACATGCACATATTATGCGATATTCTCCGTTGCCTCCATATGGCGTACCGTTGAAAGCGCAAACGAATGCGGGTCCTTCGGAAGTGGGTTCGATCCCAATTCAGACACGATTGATGAGCTGTGCCTGTGCCACAGTGGATACTACACAATCAGCAACCCGTGCGATACCGCCTTAGATATAATCACAAACACTTGTACTAACATAGTTTCGAATTTAGTTTTAGACGATCCAGTTACTGCGACAGATCCGGTAGTGGTATATGGTCAGGAAGTATTACTTACCATACGCATGCCCTATATGCCTAGCAGGGTCTACACCAGCTTCTCAGTAGGCAGCTGCGCTGATGGTCAAGCTATTAACTCTATCACAGTAGTAACTCCCCCCACTGGGTGTGTCGATGCCTTCACTTTTGCTATAGACATGACTGAAATTGCAAAGACTTGTGGCTGGATTATCACGTCGGGTGAGATTGATGGCAAAGTCTATGATGGATACCATGGGGCGCTGAAGCTCGTCTATAATGAAGACCTAAATTTACATGGAACTGCCTTTCCGAGGTTAGGTGAAGTAGTTATCCCTGCTGAATTTTTATTGCAGACCAGTTATTCGATTAGTGCTACAAATGTTGATGTAAATAGTGCTTTCGATCTAAAAGCCGCTTTAGTGGGACAAATCATGCAACCTGAGTCGGGATACACGGAAATCCAGGTCGCTACCGCTGTATCTTGGCCGTATCAAATCGATGGTGTCGAAGGCGCGGTCACAATTGGCGGTGCTGCGGTTCCTGCTGGGATAACAGCCTCTGTTTTAGATGTGTCGGAAGGTACTCCAGTATCCACATTGTATAACACTGACTGTGTTGGACCTGCCAATGCGAACGATTACACGGACAACAATGTATGCACACGAATATCATATATTCGTATCTCCCACAATACTGCTTGTGCATTGGATGGCACATACACACTGTCTGCGATTACTATTAGCTGTGCGCCCGAACTTTCGGCAGCAGATTGTCCCATAGAAACACCCGATACTACCAGCACCACCACAATTACATTGGACTCAGAGCACTTTTGTACTGGAAGCGAATCCGCCAGTTTCATCGCAGGGGCCATAACTATTGATCGCTTCATACCAGTCGACGCTGCCGATCTGAAGCGTGGCGTAAACGATGACCCCATGCACAGTATGGTATACAACGAGGCACTGTTTCTTCGGCTAGATTTGACCGGTCTGCAGGTCTTCGATGCTATCATCAGCTACATCGCAGTTGATGTGGATGATACAGGGACGCCAGTACCACCAGGTATCCCTTTTACCATTACAGGACCCCTAGGATCATTTGGGAGCACTTCGGCACCCACTGGATTGGCACTTGGATGGGATGTGACAGATCAGAGTTTTCTTATGTACCACAATGTGGATTCGGGATTGCATACAGCGTTCACCTCGCAACCAACCTCAGCTGCACGGGTGTCTGTGGGCATTATCCTGAATTTGGTGTTCGATTTTGGAAGCAGGCGCAGAACAGCTCGCACTAAGTTGCACCATATATACCATACCCGAAGTAGCAATAAGATTGAAGGGGGGATAAGGGCTATGTCCTCATTTGGGATCAAGAATGAAGAGCAGGTTGTGGCCCAGGCAAACGCCAACAGTACAACGTCTGAAAACTCGGCTGCACGAGGAGATGCCACTTTGTCCACACAAGTTCCTTTATATTGTGCAGGTCTGATTCTCATACTCCAGCGGGTAGTGTATTGAACTGTCAATCCTGTGGTTTATGAATACTATTGACACCCATTTTCGAGCTTTTGTGGGCAGGTAGGGCATACGAAGTGTGTGCCCACGAGCTACCACAATGCAGCCCAACGGCGGCAATGAGCGTTGGCAATAAAAGCCATCAAGCATGCTGATATCAAGGTATAAGAGAAGAGTCCTGTTGCTTGTAAACAATTTTCATCTAGTTGTTGATATAGGAACGGTCTCCTAAGGTGATACGGGTTGACACTAGCCGAAAGTAAAGTGTGCATTTGTAAACCAACCAAGCCTCAGGGCCCCGAAGACTACATAGTGTCGCTAAGGCAACACTTCATTGTCAATAGAGTGGCATGATCACAGAAGCACAGTATAAGGGAAAGTCACTTCACTTGCTAAGCAACGCGATTACCCAATACCAATTTGAACCTAAAAGGAGTGTTATTATGATGAGGTTGGACTATTCAGGTCCATTCGGTATCTGAACGAACTAACCTCTACAGATACATTATACTTACTAATAAGAAATTTGATTAGGTTATACCTAGCAAGTATAATATGTTACCCTTAGCAGAGCGGCTAACTATAAACACTAACAATAAACTTGATATATCACCTAGAGCACAGTGGACACTGTCCTCAATATGGTTTCTCGCGGGTGCTTGTGCGCTAATAATTTCCTACTATTGTGGCGGATAAGAACAGTACAGTACTACGTCTTTGGCGCGTGATATTAAATTCAAACCAAAAGTTGAGTGCATTCAGTGGGTACACCTTTAAGACACCTTTACGATGTGACATACAATTCAACCCCTTCTTGTTGCGTTCAATGGGACCATGAACAATACGAATATAAACAAAACGCGGTATTCTATATCACGCGTAGGGAAAAATTGCACCAATAGTACTTTTCCTTAAGATAAGAATGCACTTCTACGAGAAGTTACACACTGGTACCTAGACGTCAGAATAAGCGGATAGAATTTTATTGGCTTCCAACTATAATATCTTGTATATATACAATCTATAGTACTTTGGATACTATACGCTTCTGCTCTAATAAACAATAATGGCATGCTAATGCAACGATTATTTATCTGGTGATGACTGGTACAGCATATATACTACACTACGCGTATATCGTATGTATGCTTGGATTTATTTTTTTATATACAGACATCGCGAGTGTAAGGCCTAGTCCTAACGAATTCGGATTTTGCGTTCGGATTTTACGTTCGGATTTCTACACTAATAGGTATAGGGTAATTTTAAAATTTCAAGAAAAAGCCAAAACAAAATCCGAACGAAAAAATCCGAACGAGGTCAATCTTTCGAGGGCAAAAATACCCCTCGAGAAGTTTTACGTTCGGATCGGATTACGGGATTCAGAAAATTCTCTACGTAAACTTGCTTTTGCGGTTAATATACGTACTGAATCTATAAAATGTGTTCAACTTCACAAGCATTGTGATTGGCCAGTAATAATATCCGAGTCGTGAATGTAATTACTGAGATCATTTTTCGAAGTGCTGTTTGTCACTGGTCCGTGACGCAAATGTGCTAATTCTTGTTCACTACTGCAATGTGACATCGAACACTCGTTCAGTGATATGCATTCGCAATCCGGTTCTTCCAGATCATTGATATTCTCCATACTGTCCAAGTCGTATGACTGTTTATACATAACACACTTCTCGTTATTGTAAATATATATATAAAATGAGATAAATATGCATAATACACGTGTATTCTGTATTGCTTTTTCTCATATCCATGATATTGATTATCCAATTAGTGCTCGTTTGACTTTATGAGTCATTTAGCTTGAAAATATTGAAATAGTACGTAAACAAATTGCACTCAATATAGCGAAGTAGTCCAAAATTTGACATTGGACACTGCTTTGAGGCAGGAGCGACCAAAAACTCCGAACGCAAAATCCGAACCCGTTAAGACTGGGCCTAAATATGTGTATACTTCCACTATCGTATATTTATTATGTAAATATATGTATTCAAATACATATCATCTTATCACAAAAGCGCGTCACTGCACCTTTTTCTCTTTTGGGGCCTTCTTGCACCTAAATATGGTTCGAGTCAGGCGTGTCTGAAGTCTGAAGTCTGAAGTCTGAACAAGGGCGCTGCTGCCGCGTCATCACATTTTCTTAGAATATCACGTAATCATATAGATGTCAAAACAGAATACATAAATGATTTTTCATTTTTAGATATGTACGACATACAAAATATATGGTATATTTAGATGGTGGTTATACCGCTATCTCCGATAAAACTTATATAGATTCCCGCGAACATCGGTTACTGCGACCAGTTGATTGTACAGTGTCCCTAATACTTAGAGCCAGCTCAAGATATAAGACTTAACCTACAGTACACATACTCACAGTGTAAGTTATTCACGTAGTACGTCCAATTGGTCCATCGAATATGTTGAGAGCAACGAGATTAGGGCGCGTGCGCGTGTGTCGGACCGCAATGGTGTGTAGACGATTCACGTCTTCTGGCACAACTAAGAACAATGCGCCGAGTTTGACTGAGATCAAGATGGTTGAGCCGGATTTTGGATTCATCCAATTGCACGATGTTGTCTATCCTGGCAAGATGATGACCTTGCATGTATTCGAGCCAAGGTGGGTTTCCGATACTTGTACGTAGGGAGTGGGTTGATGTATGTTGCGATTTGATACATATTGGTGCATTGATCTGTTTTCCGATGTCCGATGGTTCAGCTCTCTATTTCAGTCGTGTCAAGTTGCCCTGAAAGCCGGGCTATTATATAAGAATCCTCTTTTAGTCACGAGCTTACTCTTGTATTCGATAGGCATGAAGATCTGTATTTATTTATAGATTGTGCACACTTTCGTAGTATATGTTTGGTCGTTCTCTTCTGTGCACACTTTCGTATTATTATATGTTGGGTCGTTCTCTTTCTTGGTATGCACGTCTAGTTTTGATTTGATTATTGCACATGTCAAGTATGTCCAGTGGTGATCTATTGCTGACTTTGATGACCTCAGTAAAAATCAATGTCTTAAACCCAATTCTGGGCAAAATTGAATAACTATTCATATTTTCATAACTGAGAATGAATATGGTGATATGATGTACTGTGAATGGGCATATATTCCCGTGTGTGCTGAGAACGTTCACATGAATAGACCTTGGAAGTTTGTATAATATCTAAACAATACTGCTGGAAATATAGTGTTGTATGTGGTTTTCAATTCCTTATAGTTATTCACTGCTTGTAGTATTGTCAGAGGTCTGCTTACATACTTGAATGGCCACACACATTTCTTTTGTTTAGTCTATTTCGTTCTTCTTTTCCTACTTTATGATGTGCACAAGCAGTAGCGATTGAGTCTACAAATACACTCTAGGTGTTGGCGCTGAGTTCGCGCTTGGATTAGCTGTGATGCTCGCATCTTTCGGCGCTTTACAAAACAAAGCCATACTTTTTTCTTCCGCTCCAAATGACCTCTGGCAGATTTGGTTTTATCAATGTCTTGGTTTGTGCTTACATGAACTTATTATATTTCTGTATTCATACAGGAATACGACTTGTTATCATTCTACATTCATTCAGGTATATAACTTTTTATCTTTCTACATTCACACAGGTATATGAAAATGATATTCGAGGCGCAGAAGTACAATGACGGTATGTTCGGATATGCAGGGGTGAATGTTATGAAGATCAAAGAATTGCGAGCCAGCCAGTGGGCGGATAAGGACCGAGGAAACGACGCGGAAGAAGATGACACACGCGACGCTGTAGTGAAAGGGACAGTTTTAAATGCCGACACAAGTGAAAGTGAAGTAGATGCAAAGGCTGATAAGGAGACCAATGAGAAAGACTCGTCGGAAACGACCGAGCAGCTCAAAGATACAGACATCGATACAACAGGCAACAAACAAGGCCAGTACAAAGTTATACAAGTCTCGCGAGATGAAACCCCCGATTCTAAGGGGTCTGATATAGGGTCTACTCGTAGTACTAAAGTCGGTATAGACAATCCGAACGTCAATGGATTTTTGAAGGGCGACAACGGAGATAGCTTTGGGCTACAGTCGACGCCTCTCCCAATGGCCGAATCGCCAGATAAGGGCAGAGGTGTGTTGCCTTTCTGTGTGTGCATTCTGCTGTTGTGTGTGTATTTTTTTGTTGTGTGTGTGTATTTTGTTGTTGTGTGTGTGGATTGATGTCTGCTTTTAGTGGTGCTATTGCTCGTACTGAAGGGGCCGTGTCTGTCATTGGCTGTGAGTTTCTTAGTTCTCTCAGCACTCGTGAGTGTACGTACATCCTTCGGGTAATTCTTCTCCATGCATCCTGTGTGCAGCTCTTCTGGGAATGATGAAGTGGTTAGTTGCTATATGGGGCATCTGTGTGCTATCCTGCTGTGTCTGTCTACGTACGTTGTGTGTGTTGTGTGGCATGCGGGTGCATTTGCTTTATACAGAATCGGTTCACGCGCTTTTGGGACGCATCTCTGTCACCGGTTGATTGAGCAAGTGTGGGCGTAAACGATATCGTCACGACTGTCGTCAATGATCAAACCCCCTTCTTTCTTGAGGGAGTGTCATACATAATCGATTGGTGTCTGTTGGTGAGGTTGTATGAACAGACCCTGAACCGCTGCAGTACTCGTTGGTTAACTTAACTACAGCCACTGTGACAAGTAGATAGACAATCAAGAAGCCACTCTGGCTCTCGTGAAAGACCTTCATATCCGTATGCTGTGCATGCTATGTTATTCGCTTTATTCGTGTTGGTTAAGGCTTGAATTTCGGTAGCAGTGCTCCATGGAAAGGAACACAAAGCGTCCTGCAGTGACATTCTGTGTGAAACCTTTCGTGATTTCCGCCCCATGTCATGGCACTAATCTTCCCCCTCTAATGTTGATCAGTTTCAAACAAACGAACACGGCAATGGGAGAAGAATGTGATTGCGCGTTATGTGAAGGCCACTTCCTATGCTGAAAAGGCTGTCAGTGTGGACAAGGTCGCCTCGTTTGCCAATCAGCTACGCGACTATGAATGGGGTGCTGAGCGCGAACAGCCACAGTGGCTGTGTTATGATGTAGGGGTGCTTATGCAGATTAAGCAGATACAGGTGTGTCTTGTGCAGTGGCTGTGTTATGACGTAGGGGTGCTTATGCAGATTAAGCATATACAGGTGTGCCTTGTGCTAGTAGTGTGTATGTAGTGATGTATGGGTATCTGTGTGACAGCCACAGTGGCTGTGTTATGATGTAGGGGTGCTTATGCAGATTAAGCAGATATAGGTGTGTCGTGTGTTGGTAGTGTGTGTGTATTGATGTATGGGTATCTGTGTGACAGCCACAGTGGCTGTGTTATGATGTTGGGGTACTTATGCAGATGAAGCAGATACAGGTGTATTTGGGTGTTGGTAGTGTGTGTGTAGTGATGTATATGTATCCGTGTGGACGTTGCACCCGTTGCGTAGTGTTCATTTGCACTGGGTGATGAGCACCCAAGAAGGTACTGGCACTGTGGCTGTGCTACGATGTATGTCACTATATAGATTAGGTGAATACACTTGTGTGGTTCTGAATTGTGGAAGCGCTCGTATACGTGAGAGTTTGGACGAGGGTGGCGGGATCAAGCCAATGAAGGGTTTATGTTTGCGTGATTGCATACGATATTTGACTTTTGTGTGCTGAGAGCGTTTACCTGCTTACTTCCTCCGCCTCGTGAGTGCATCGGTTGTGTACATGTGTCCGGGCGTTCGTATATACATATGTATGTGTTTGTGCATAATGGTATGTATGCTTATGATGTTTCACCTAGTGTTGTGGTGTACGGGGCATAGGAAGCTTTCGCATAGTGCGGAAGCATTCAATCGCTTGTGTGTTGTGAGTATACTTGTATGTAGTAAGTATACATGTGGGTGATTCACTATTCTGTTAAGGCATCTTCCAAATAGTGTGTAGCTATGCTTCTACAGATTAGCATCACATTCCTCGTTCGTCAACCGGCACTGCCAGGGACAGATAAACTATATAGCGTCGTCACATGGCCTATAGTAGTTTGTATGTCCTCTAGTAGTTTGTTATAATGCGGTACTACATCGCTATGACTTATGTTATCCAAATAGACTTTTATATCTTTTAACGTCTATGAGCACAATTGCCAAAACTCGTTGAGATTTCACCTGATGATGCAGGCGATATATTCACGCTCATACCATCTGGTGCTATACTTCTGCTTGCCTATCGTACCTGGTTATAGTAGACTATACCTGATCTCTGTGTGGTGTCTGTGCAGGCCGAGGTGGGTATGCTTGCCACTGAGTGTGCACTAGTTTTAAATGAGTTATCAACAACTATCCTCTGTATCTGATCACGTTTACCGTTCGCGTACTACCTCAGCCCATTCCAAACACGGAAACACTGCTTGTGCTTTGTGAATGCATTATGCGCGTGCACATCACCGACAAGGCTCCCACGACCTCGGGCTTTTGGCAGGCGAAGGTCAAGGCAATACCCGATAACAAGAAGATAGATGAGGTATGGTTGTTGAGTGTAGTTTGGACACGCACTGTGTACTTGCATTGGCATGCAGGCGTACACTAGGTGGTAGTATCATCCAGTTGGCTGTGATAATGTAGACGTTTAGTTACGTCCCGAAGGCATTGTACGTCTATGGAAAGTATCAGCTTTCCTTCAGATTTCTTGTTATAGTCTACATAGTTGTATGCGCGTACATGATGAAGCTTTATGGTTTATGCATTAAATAGCACCGGAAGAGATATCTGATTTGGATTAGATGGTATTGCGTGCTATTCCCATACATCCCACCTGGTTACACTCTTTTTATCCACACTAGAATATACCCGCACTTGATCTGTTTGACAGATACCTGGCTATAGCATGAGTCCTAATCAGCCAGATGCGTGTCTATATCTACGTATACTATGTATATCTACATACTCGTGCGCATCCTAACCCGTGTCTGGTGTCTCTTTCACCTGACACAGGACTCGATACTCTCAACCGACACACCCGAACGGCCGTTGAAGAGCCACTGTGAAGGCAACTTGCTTCCCAACGCGCCCATGGCCAATTTCTCGGATGACAGTCTTAGGAACGAATCAGATATAGTAAGCGACTCCGAGAGATACTGATGTGTTGGTCTGATTGGAGATAGTTTAATTATATAGCACGGGCAGACGTATGGGTTAAGCCTGTCTAGTATATCACTCGTGTGCAGATACACCCTCTTGTCACGTGTTGCGCTGTATTTGTGTGAAGGTGTTATGTTCAACTATTGTTGAGCGCTTGGATAGCCTAAAGTGAGTGCATATAGAGTGAGATTGAAGCTGTGTATGTCCCATTGGATCAGAGTGCCATCCCTTATGATTGAGAGCTTATTAGCCCATGTCTATTCTGCCCTCTCTGCGGCCCAATCGGGCTGTGTATATAGCCCTAGTGGCCTATATGATCCTGATCCGTTGAGCATAGGATTGGTGCTCACATTCCTATTTGTGAAGTACTTTCTATTCTCTTTCCTGCAATATGTATTTGCGTGTCGTATGGAAGATGGCAACCAGACCAACGCCGCGAAAATCATGGTACATACTATTAGGAGTGTCTGTAACCCTGCTGGTATTGCCTGGTATTAGCATCAAGACACATCAGTTGTCTAAACTTTAATACATTTTCCACACCCTTGCGCAGAAGTATTCATCCCATCTGGTTCACGAGGTGACGCATCTGATCTATACCAACCTGTTAGCAAACAGTCACCATCTGGTATGTCCTGCTCGGCTTGAAATACTTGCTCGTGTGTGTGTGTGTGTGTATAATACTTGCTCGTGTGTGTGTGTGTGGGTGTATGTGTTCGTACGTGTGTGTATGTGTGCGTATGTTTATGTTCGTACATGTGCTATATACTGCATCTGATCTACACCAACTTGTTAGCAAACTGTCATCATCTGGTATGTCTTGCTCCACTTGAAATGCTTGCTCGTGTGTGTGTGTTCGTACGTGTGCTATATAACGCATCTGATCCACACCAACCTGTTTATGAATAGTCACCCTCTGGTATGTCGTGCTCGCGTGTGTGTGTACGTGTACGTACTTCTACTAAATATATATGATTTCAAACATTTGGAGCTGGCGTGCAGGAGTGCCTCAGTTGATAGGACAGTACTTATCCAGCGATGCTCGTTATAGTAACATCTGCCGTTATGCATGCGAGACTTGGTCATACAGTATATATATATATGTATATATATATATATATATATATATTTAAAAGCATTCGCAAATGTTCACGCATGACACTGTAATGCATTTTTTTTATGTCGTATTGATGTCTATCCTAATCATTCGCATATATTCGCGTATGCGAAGGATGTCGTATAAGTCGGTTTTCTCACACACTGTTTCTGTTTGTCGTTGCCAATAGCAACACAGATACTCCGTGGGCGTGATCAAGGCCCTAGAAGAGCTTCGGCAAGTGCTTGATACTGAAGACCCCACCAAACCACCGACGATGGAGAACACGTTTGTTAACAGCTGGATTTATAAGGATAGGGATGTCGAGAGGACCAAGTATGTGTCCTGAGTGTCACAGTTGACACTACTCGTACTTTTGAGTGTTGGATTTACTACTACTTGTACTTCTGAGTCTTTCTTGTACATATACCGGTTGTTGCGGACACCACTTGGATACATTGGGCGTTCGGACATGCTTGTGTACATATTATGTTTAGTCCTCCGATACCGCGGCAAATTTGGCGATTTGCCGATCAGCCGCTAACACAATCCCAGTTCTATTCAGATCATCCCGGTCTATTTACGAGATAGCTGCCCCCCATATATATATCTAATTATATTACACCATCCCACCTGACTCCTGGTCCCGCTTCATCCCGCTATTCCGCAGAGCTGAGATTGTGAGTCGTGTGGCGTGGTTCATAGCCAACGTGGTAAGTGAGACCAAACGCTTGAACTCCGTCAACAAGCAGGCAATTCTCGAGTGCACTGACCCCATCACTCGGCTGGAGATGGTCAAGGATGTGTTATCAAGAGGTGTGTGTGTGTTATGTAAAGACTTGTATGGCCATGTTGGGAGATCAAGAGGGGTTTGAGTTGCTATTTGACGTTTGTCTGTCGGGTGGCTGCGTTTTCTTGGTATCTCAGTGCCTCTTATTCAGTTGAAAAGGGATTTATGTATTGCCTGCTCATCGAATTGCTCTCTGTAAGCAGTCCTTGTGCTGATTGTGTACCGAACTTTTAGTATAAATGCGTCTGTGTATGCGTAGCTGCCCGCTCGTTTGAAAATGTCTCGTTACTACTTGACTGCACCTGGATTTCATAGTTTGGGACTCTAGTTCTTGATTCGGTCTTGGTAATCGTAAGATAATACGTAATTAGATTCTGACTTATCGGCTTTGTAATTGTATGGAAACATGTATCTATTCCGGGTTTTGTCCGTATTCTCGGACCCTTGTGTGCCTATCTCACGACATTCGATTGAAAAAAATTGCATTCGTGTAAGCCTAGGCGGAGGTGGGGAATCGGCCTATACTCATCATATCTACCATGTGCCCATTGATAGAAATTGGAGCGGGAGCCGCTGAGAGGGCGAAGACTGACGATTCATGAGCTCTCTCTGAGTTGTGATGACTCAGCCGAAAGCGCGAAGACTGACGATTCGTGAACTCTCGCTGACTTGTGATGACTCATCGATGAGTCATCTTTCCAGCGCTACTTGATTGTGTCACTGTGCAGACTGACAGGCACACACACTCACACGTGGCCGTCCTACAACACGCAACGGAGCACATCACACCACACGTTACCATACCACACGTTACCACACCACAAGTGTCAACATGGATGGTTTCTCGATAGCCCGGATAAGATCCAATGGAATGTACGTGTTGCAGCGGTGATTCCCCCGCTTATTGAAGTTTGATTCAGTCGTGGCACGAGGCACTACGCACATCAATGTAGAGGCTTGATGGAGATGTACAACCCTTGGTCGCAGCCGTCGTGTGCGACTGTGTTGTTCACCTGCGCAGTTATATATGAAGAATGAGGTTAAGCGGCCTATAGTGTTACTATGGTGTGGTATTCCGGGGTATGAGAAATCAGCTTATGGATGAGGTGTTTCCCCGTGGATTATAACCAGTTCCATTCCTGTTTCTGAAATGGCTCCTATGGTCCCCTGTTATGCGTCCCGTTGAGTTATCGTCATCAGTGGTGTGCGATACGGCCCTCATGCCCAGCGATATCGTGAGAGAATTTCGGTACATGTTGTTTCGTGCTCTTACAAGTTCTTCATAGGTGGTGGCGGCATGGTAACACACCGGTATATTATACCTGATTGACGGAAACTGACTGCCCTGAGCCAAACATCCACATACGGCTGTTCAGCAGCGATTGCAACCGAGTTAGACGGACTGCCCGGAAGTAGGCAGTCTTTGCAGCCTCGACAGTGCTGGCACATGACGTGGATAATCCAGGTGAACGATACCACATGGCTGGGGCTACAGGATAGCCTTACCTTAGCTGACTGGAGAAGTGTTAGTCGTTTTGTTATATGCGAACTACGCACAGTGCATGCGGGTTGGCGAAGCAGATTTGTATGCAAAACACTGGTCTGTAACTGACAACAAACGTATCGGCCCGTATTAGACCACATAATGCTTATCTGGGAATATAGTCGGTGTACGCTATTAGCTTCGCAACGCTCATTCTCATACCTGGTCGCTTATTTTAACGCTAGAACCCATACCTCAAGGCATTTGGAAAAAGAAGAAAGCCTATGCTTTATCGATCTAGTATGTGTCCGCAGGATATTCCGCGCTGCCGAACTAGACGACGTCCCTTTTCCGGGCCACGTTTATAGATCGCGTACGATCGTGATGAATTATGAATATCAAATAAACCTCAAATAGAAGAGGCTTGCAGTGCCAGCCCTATTTTGACAATAAATTACGTCCTTACTTTAACGTTCTTTTCTATTTTTGAACTCTATGTTTGTGCGGATATTTTGAAACACTCAACTCTCGAAAGATTTGATCAATGTTATAGCACAAAGTCCCACTCTGTTATTCCGAATCTAATAAATCTCGGCGGATATTCACATTGCTTTGATCTTTATATTGTATCACTGTATATTGATATTACCGTCTGCTCATCCTGCTTTCAAGAATCCCCCGATATTCATGAGAAGAGAAACAAAAAACTAGATAGCAACCGAACCGGCCATTTGAATTGCAGGTGATGTTCATTGATAATGTCTCCAAGTACAGTTTTGCTAGGTATTGTATTATGCCTAGGCATAGACAGAAGTAATCCCCCACTATCCACAACAGCAGTCATTCCGGGTCAAGAATCTATAAATACCTCGCTGAAAGCAGTTGTTGTATATTCTCCCATGTTCATGTGAGACTCCCTTTCTATTCCTTTCGATTGCTATACATTTAGAAGAATAGGCTTTATCGCACATATGTATGTGTGCAACGGCGGTTTTTGATGTCTTTGGCACACACTCTGCCTGTAGAGTCAAGCATGGCCAAATGATACTGTCCAGTACGAGTGTTAGTATAGAAGAGACACCAGGTACACGTACCTACAATAAGCTTACATTCCCAGCATGCTCTCTTTCTAATTCAGACACAAGACACACGCTTCACACATAAGTGACATTCGGCTCGAGAGACCCTGCCATCGATTATACATGATGGCGAGGCGTGCTCTTTGTGTACTGACCCTTTCCCATGCACATGAAACCGAGTACCTGCATGGGCGATTCCTGGCCTTCAAAGTTACGCTTAAACGTAGTAGGTCCGATGGTAGGTAAGTAATGATCGTCAAGCATAACCTTAGCAGTCACACTTGACCCAAACTCTAATTTGCTCAGAAATTCAGGAAATGAGCCATTCTTCGCCAAATTTGCTCGCGATTTGCCAGTGCGTGTTTTTTTTCTTCTCCGAGCTTATCACGACACCCTTACGATCGACGAAATAGATCTTAGGTGCGTCTTTGTAGCCGGATTCGTTCGATTCGGGATTAGGTAGACTGTTTTTGACCACCTGCACTCGTATGACTTTTTCTAGAGGGAGGTGTTTTGGAATATCAAGGGCTTCAAACGTCGACGCAATAGGCACAGTAGACTCACGAGGCAATTCGTTCTTGCACAGTGGGCAACTGTTACTGGACTGCAACCACCGACGTACACACTTCTGGTGGAATGTATCAGCACAAGGTAGTTTAACGGAGACATGCTTCGTGTCGTGGTCTTTGCAGATATGGCACTCACGTATGGTAGGTATGGTAGGAAGGAGGGGGATAACATCAGGATTGGAAGCATTTCCTCTGAGGCATCCGATGTGATTGCCATCTATGCCTATCGTTTCATCATTCGACTCTACATCTGAGTACTCGTTATCTGAGTCAGTTGCGTGAAAGTGATCATTTGTTAAGCCATCAAGAGACCAGGCGGAAGGGCCATACATAAACGACTCGACTTCAATGCTGGCAGCCTTCATCCGCGCCCTCTCCGATACGTACAGAGGCGTCTCCATCGCGGCCTTAAAACGCTGGAGTATCTCGGCCATACTTTCGTTGAGCTCCATATCCAGAACAATGTCTGTGACAACCAGGATCTCATGTATGGAGACGCTGCCAGTAGTGTACACGTGGTCTACCAACAACTCGGTCATATTAGTGCTCAGGAATACTGGGTCTTCGTCAGCCGAGAACAGAATATCCACTAACTGCCACGCTATGCTGTCGTGCCGGCCCTGTTGAAGAAGGTATTTTAGAATCCGGAAGCGTTTCCTATACAAGCTGTGTCTGCGGATTATATCGCCTGTGACTCGATTCAAGACCTTCGCGGCCTGAGTCACCTCATCTTTCGGAATCATGTTCATGCTTGCAGACCTTTTACGGAAGTGTCTAATGATAAGCAAATCAAAACAAACGAACACGACTGTACTTGAACCTCATGTAAATATGATATATATATAAATGTACGTTCATATATACATAACCCCATACATATGATTCAGACATGTATATGTACACACATACATATGTGAATATACGTTCATACTGCCCATTGTCACAGGCAGCTGTCCTGTGCAGCAGTGTGTTACAGTCACTGCTTTGTTGAATGTTGAGGCATTTCGACTTTCGTGTCGTGTGACGTGTCGTCACTCGCCTGCTGACCAATGAGATTTAAATTTGTTTATGACACAACTTTGACGCGCCAGTTTTGTCTATCTTGGGTTTTGTACAGATTGCTACAATATAAAATAAAACAATTTGGGTTTTTCTAAATATAGCCTCCAATAAATTAGAATAAAATAGTCGGTCTTCGAAGTTTGAACATTTGTGTGTGCGTGAGTGGCTGTGTGTGTGGCCTTTCGCACGTATATGTTTGTGTTGTCTGATTTAGAAGGCTATGGTTGTGTGGCGTGTGCAATTAGTACTCTTTCCTCGAGGCTACTTGAAATACACCCCTTCTGCATTCTGTAGATTCCTGCGTTCCAACTTCTTAGCTTGTCATGTGGAGATGAGCAAATATACAAAATACTCAACACTGACATACACCCACATTCAGATGTAGAACCAGATTTATTTGCAGAAAGCATCTATATACGTTTTTGTTTCCAATCACCGGCCGGTGTGTTTCTATTCATTTTAGGTACTATGGTATCCACGGTACCATTATGTACTCCTAAACTCTGCAGGTATTGTGAAATCGAGTATAGTATTTACTATATCTGAGAGCAAGTCCCCTACGATGGCCATACATAGTGATTATGTGACAGTGGACGTTTTTGAAATGTAGCCGCTCTCTACGCAATCTCCCTAAACAACCAACAGATGATTGAATGATAGCCATCGAGACGCGCCATTTTAGATGTATGATTGAGTCGTAGTAGCGAACATCTGGGGAAATAGGACTCGTATTAGTACTAATAAAGTACCAACTTTGCATTTGGTGACACATAGCCTCAGTACTGTACACGCTATTCAAAGCTTCGTGGATGGCGCTGTTTCAAGCCTTCATTTTCGCTATCGCCAATAGTATAAACGTTTAGCTACCATTGTGTGCATTTATCATTCTATTCCAGCTCTTAAACATACTTGGATCTCTTGAGGTAGTGTGCTGCAACATCGGAGCATGCATAACAACCACAGGTATATGCGCACAGTCGTTGACTATCGATTGATCAGTACCACTATATAGTACAACGCAGAAATGTAGGGATCCGGTTAATGTATCACAAAGACTTTTCTAAGCATAGGACATACCAGTATACTATCCGCCGCACATCAAATTGTGCAATCGTCGATCCAACAAAGATCATATTCTGCCGCTAAATTTTTTTTTAATGAATTTATAAAAGTTTGTTTCGACAACAGCGTGCAGTTGAGTGGGTGGAGTGGTGTGGGAGAGGATTTATATTTACATCGAATAGAATACAGCTATGGATCTCTTAGAAATATGTATTTAGAAACGCTTTCTTTTCTTAACGGAAAATAAGATGTGTGAATTCATGAGTCTGTCCAGCTATCCACGAGATGCAGAAGGCTATCCGTTCACTTATTTTTGTTGTTTTCATAGCGTTCTAGTCAGTTCTACCAGAGAGATGACCAGTACAATGTAAATATGTGTTTATTTTTGTATCTACATTTATACATATGTATTTACTGTCTATTTTAGAAGGCTGTGAGTACAATACTGCCGTACATGTATAAGTACATGTTATTTTTTTAAATACAAGTATATGTAGTCTTTGAAATTTATTCAGAAGGCTATGGGAGAATCTGATATGTGTAATATTTTAAAAATACATAATACATATATTGGTGTTTGTTTGTTTGTTCTTTTTTTTTTTTTAAACCACCATCTGCAATTGTTCCTCCCGCCAAAACTCATTTGTTCTTTAGCCACAGAATTCCAAATATAGAAAACCGTGGCGGATGGGCCACTCCATTTTTTTTTAAATCCAGTCTACCTCGCCAGTCTTTCGATTATTCATTGAGGAATGTCAATCTGTAGAATACCACTAATAAACTAAATTTAGAATTAGTTTACGTCTTTCAGACAGTAATTACTGCATGAGGTATAACTGCATATGCAATTAGTTGTCTGAAATCGAAACTGGATTTCGAATTTTGGAAAACTAGTCGCTTTATTATTATTTACCGGGGTATCAATGTATCATACATTATAAACTCAGCCAATCATCTCTACTGATTCGGATTTTTATTTTTTATATTTTTAAATTACCAAATCGTGGACCGGTGCAGCACTGCCGAGTCTCGAAGTGAGTAACTAAGTGGTCTGTCGGTGATTGTGCTTCTGTGTAAACTGTAAACGTATCTGTAATCTGACTAAACTGTGTACACACATAATCAATATCATATCATTGTGGTTCAAAGTAAACGGTGATATTCTGAATTAAAAATTATAAACGATTGTGAGGTGATGCCTGATGTAAAAGTTTTATTTGTTTTTTGGATAATAGTGGTAGTTAGGTCTATTCACGTCCACATACGCGTACACTTATCCCCACACGCACACGCACACACACCTTGATTGAAAATTGATAGTACCTATTAGCATTGAAAGAACAGATACAGTATTCACTATGGCGTCACCAGCTTTTGATAACGATTCCTTCCACGAGGACAAAACAAATAATGTATACACTTCAGGCGAAAAGCTGCAATACAAGGATGAATTCTGGGTATGTACAGAGCTGTGACTTGCTCTCACCTGCATTCGTGTTAGATACAGCCCTTATATGGCAATATTACAATGCATGTTTACAGGCTAATATGGGTTATACTAAAGTGCATTAGAACGGAGACAAATGTCGCTGTGTAAAGGTTTGATGCGGTGAAACGAACCTGTTCTGCTAGATACTTATGCGCTGTATCTTCGTTCCCAGATAGTCCTTATTTTCTCCACTATTGTTTATATGCTAAATTGCCAAGATGTGACTTGTGACGCTATTTGAGTCCGAGTACCAGTGCAAGTGTTGCGTTGCACGTAGCTTCCAATAGTATTAGCTTGCCTTTGTAATATTTCACTCTTTTTAACGCGCTTTGTATACGCCTAGACATACACAGAAGAACGCTTCAGCACTCAATAGCCATGAAACATAACCAGTGTGCATGGTTATGTTGCATATACTTGTTACCAATCAGGTTTTGTTTACCACCTTCGTTAGTGATCCCTCTCGTCGTGGCAGTTGTGCTTAATGGGAGGTAGTCTATATGCATTGTTTTGACAACAACCAGTCTACTGTCGTATGGCGCTTGGTACAGACTCATCTGTCTATGTCGCGCGCCTTACGTACCCTCGACCCCACCTGCATTCAACTACGTTTGTAGCACACCCATATGTGTATATATACATAGGTGAACTTATGCTTATTAACATGTAATATGCACTCAACGCTTGCGGTCACAGGGGGAGACTGGTGGTGAAACCAGTGGGCCCTACAAAGGATTTACGGTCCTTTCCAAGCGAGCCACCGATGCCAAGTCTATGATGACTGTATTTGCGGATGTCATTGCCACCCGATGTGAGATTGAGTATGTTGTTGTTGTGTACAATGTGGAGTGCTTTGCTGAGTAATCTGATGTTGTTTTACGCTCTAATCGCATTTGAATTTCGTACCGAACGTCTCATTATTGTACGTCGAGACATTTTCCTTTACCTGCATACTACACACCCTCACACTGTAGCTATTTGTACAACATGTAGTTAATCATAGTACAATCACATTATGTGTATAGACATTGATTGGCTGCCGTTTGATATTCGAATAGTGTGGGTTTATATCTAAAGCATGTTAACTATCTATCTTTATATATATATATATATATATAATGTAGTCTTATAGTCGTACGTGAATATACAAAAAATACTGCATCTGTGTATACACGGTAGTTAAATAGTACGTACGTAAAGATGTTACTATATCACGTTATATATATATATGTGTGTGTGTGTGTGTGTGTGATAACTACTCGTCTGTGTATACGTAGTCATATAGTGCGTACGTAAATATACAACAAAAAACCCAATAGAACACCGTACACTTGCGTGTGGCTACGTTAGATATGCACCAATTGTGTGTGTATAGACTACGTTGTTTCCAATGATTTGGGTGTATATATTGTTCCATCCGCGTGCGTGGAAGTTTTAGTAGCAACGTTGTCGATTGCCTGCTCAACCAGGCGCAGAGCCAATCCTGTGGGCGCCACAGCAGTCGATCACATGTTTGTAGTCAGACATCGTCTAACAATCCGATTGTGTGGGGCAGTTCTATTGTAGGTGGTCATAGCGGCTGGGATATCTACCATGCCGTCTCGCTCGCACATTACACCTATATCCTCTGCATATAGAAGTGCCCACCAGTAGTTTGATCGCCTGATTGTGTGATGGTGTGGCGGGGCATTTGTTGGTACTGAGGTGATATAGTACGCGCGTGCCTGGATAGAGTTGTGGGTGACTCGCGTTGCTGCTTCTACTTGTTGGATGGGTGGACCGTATGCTTTCTTTCGAACGGTAGCCAAGAGCACCAAAAGCCTTGCCGCGGATATATGGATATGTCCTACCACATCATATCCCATATCATCATACATAGTTGCCAATGTATATAACAGTTGGAATATTCACTGTACACATCAGTAATATGCAAAATATACATATGCACTTTCTCATATACATACACATGCATGTACATACATAATCACACACATGTGTGTGTTTGCAAGAAAAAAAGTATATATATTCATATGACCGGCATATAATCATATCCTGTGTGCTTTGATTGTACAATACTGATCATCTTTACCCTGGTTTCGTTTGCCGATCTCAGGAAGACATACGGACAAGCCCTGGTGCGTCTATCCGATCACGCAATAAAGACAAACAAGGACAAGCACGGAACGATGTACTTTGCGTTCGAGAACACTATGAAGGGCATGAAGACTACTGGCCAGCAGCACGTGGATCTTGGCACACAGGTGAGATTTACCATAGCATATGATATATATATATGTGTGTGTGTGTGTATCAGTATATACATGTATATCTTGTGTCCGCGTGTGTATATATGTATATGTTAAGAGAGCTCTATATGTATTTTAAGTGCCCACTGTCTGTGACTAGTATGCGCCTGCAAATGTTGTGCATATTAAGGAATGCTTATAACTTCGGATTTTATATATCGTCATGAAGGCAGCTTGGTTCTTAGTGCATATTATGCATGTCTCTGTCGCGTTTGTGTGTGCTTGTTATATACGAGGTGGCAGTATGCATACCATGGTCTGTCGCGAGTTTAAAGCGGATAGTGATAATTATCGACAGTGGCATTCATTTGTGTTGAGATGTGTGTTGGTCTCCAGCATGGATGGCTGTGATGTGTCCTGATACCCATTCGCCCCTAAATAAGGCCAAATTACCGGCAATGTATACTCACTCCCATGTATGACTTACACTCCCAAAAAAATGCCACAGATGAGTAAGGTACTGGGCGCACACTTCAAGGACTTCAACTCGGACTCCAAGGCGCACAGAAAACAGCAAGTCAAACACCTCACAAACCTGCACACGCAACGTGAGAAGGTCTACGCCAGCCTAGTCAAGACCAAGGCCGCATACAACGTCAAGTGCCAAGAGCGAGAAACGCTCGAGGACCAATACAAACGCGCCAAGGATGCGGGCGCACACACGCCTGAGGAGACTAAGGTGAGGCTGGTTGTGGGTGGTGGATGTGTGTACGTAGTACTACATGCAAGTGCGTGCATGCTGCATTCGTCTGCTGTCCTTGTGCTTGTTTCTGTGTGTGTTTGTTTATGCGTTATGTGTGCGCGTGTTGGTTTATGCGTGTCTCTGCGTGTATTGGTTTATGCGCGTCTCTGCGTGTATTGGTTTATGCGTGATGCGTGTATGATTGCCACGGCGCCCTCCGGATTCACTTCTTTTAGATGACATGGAGTTTGTTGATTAATTGAATTGTAGAGGGTGGTTTGAGATTAACCGAATATATATTTATATATACTTTTATACACATATATATATATCTATAAATATATATGACAGTTCGTGTATGCTAAACATTACTGTCCCCTTGGACATGTACGCTATATGTCACATGTGTATATCTTTTTGCTGATAAGAGCCGTTTATCGCATATTGGACCATGCATTGATGTGTGCTGAAGCCTGGATACCCCGTAGGTCCAGGGTGTGTGCACTCTAGTTGTTGAATCGGTGCCCCTGTGGTATTAGCGTACAAGACACTTCGTGCGGCTTAGAATGTGCAGATAGTTCTATTTGTATCTAGGGTATGCATGTAATAGCTTGGATTTTTGTGCGTGTATGAGTACGTATTTATGTATGTATGTATATGTATTTTACTCCTGAATGCATCGATCCTTTCTATCTTATCTTCCTCAGGCACTAGACAAGCTACGTGATAAGCTATACAAAGCACGTACACAGGCGGAGAGGTCTGAGTTCCAATACAAGCAGGCCGTCAGTACCGTAGAGGGTGTCCGTTTGGAGTGGGAGAAGGAGTTTGAATCCATTGCCGGGCAGCTACAGGTATGGGTGTTCGTATCGGTGGATTCATATGTGAAGAGTGGTGGTGTGTCTATTCACGAATGTGCGCAGATGTTTGTATGGCTGTGTGAGTGTGGCTGCGTTGCTTTGTACATATGAGTACGTTTTAAGAAGTTTTGTGCGGGGTTAGGGTATGGGTTCGTGCCTGCCTGTTGCTCCCTTGACAGGTGTTGATCTGAGTGTACGCTGAACTACTCTCATTAGGCCCTATTCAAGGCGCACTGGATATTCGTCAATGTATCGTACGCAGCAATCTGGCATGAATGTATTATATACAGCCATCCGACATGTCCAGCAAGAGCTTGGACGCTACGACAATCTATGGCAGGCATATGTGTTTAACATATGCAAACTCAGTGACATTTCGTAGAATGCGCTGATGGCAAATCGTCTATCCATCGCTCACAGACATTCTGTGTGGACACTAATTTAATTGCCGTTACAAAACTACTTTAATTGCTGTTATGCAACTCAGTGGTACTGTTCTCTGCATGCGCAATCTCTCTGCCATAAACACGCTCATTTCATTTATTTAGATATAATATTTATAACTGTATGTATGTATGTACGTGTTTATGTATGTATGTATATATAGATAGTAGTATGCGGCTTCTCGGTGGGGTATCGCGTCATTTCGGACGATAAATGCCAATCACAGCACTGTAGAAAATTATAGTGGAACCATCACTTTAGGATATACCAAGCTCAACCATGCAAATAGCAATACTCTAAAACAAGCACATCCCATCACTCACTCACTCACTCATATCACTCACACATCACTCACATTCACATCACATCACTCACTCACTCACACATATCACTCACACATCACGTCACGTCACATTACATCACTCACTCACTCACACCACACAGGAGATTGAAGAACAAAGAATCCAGAACGTGCGCCAGGACTTCTGGGTCATGGCGAACCTGCAGTCCATCTGCGCCGTAGCCGACGACAACGCCGCTGAGATGATCCGGGAGGCGGTCACTCATGTGGACTGGGAGTCTGACATCCAGGAGTTTGTGCGCAACAACCGAACGGGCAACGTACGCCCACACCAGCTGGACTTTGTGCAGTATCAGTACAAGGAGAGTATCCTGCGTAATATGTCGATCTCGTCCACAGCCACCAGCGGCACCTATTCGAGTGCTTATGCGCCACCCAGCCGAGCCGGTTCGGTCAACACCGTGCCCGGTATGTGGGCAAGGATGTGTGCGTGTTTGAAGGGCTTTATGTGTGTGTGTGTGTTGATGGAATGCTGGCGTTTTCATGTGTGCGTGTTTGATGGGCTGTATGTGTTATATACTTGTGCTTTGTGTGCATTCTTTATGGTGCAGTCCATATCGTAATCTCCCGATATCTGCATCGTGTTTGTAGTTACTATACTCTCATCACGACCCGTAGAATCGAATACAGTACTCTGCACGAACCCTCGTGTGTGGGACATTTATATTTGCCAGTTGCAGTGTTTTAATACCACCGTTCACCCCAACAACAAACCACAACACCACTCTTGCCACTGTCACTCCACTCGCTCTCAACAGAGGAAGCCAGTTCGGAGACTGCGCCCGACTACAGCGCAGCCACCACTGCGAAGACCAACGGCGTCGGTGAAGCTTGTAAGTGTGTGCATACTTTGGGTTCAATGCTGTAAGTGTGCACTGTATGTATATATATATATAAACAATTTCTAGATAGTTGCCATCCGTTGAACTGTAGTGTATTTGGCAGGTTCTACTAGCGAGTCCTCTGTTGTCATTGGCTTGGGTTAGAAATTCGTATAGTTTGGGATCGATCTAATGAAGCTACCGGTATTGTTCCCCCACAGATATCGTCATCTACGAATATAACGCGCAAGGAGAAGAAGAATTAGACCTCAAAGAAGGAGATGAGGTCGTAGTTACGGACACGATCGAGGACCCCTGGTACATGGGCACGCTCAACGGCAAGAGTGGCATGGTGTATAAGGAGTACCTGGAGAAAAAGAACTAGATACAGATATCGGAGTAGATATATATACGCAAAGGCATGTCGGGAGTAGGCAAGGAATGGCGGGAGCGAAAGAAGTATGCGCACCTCGGATAGGCACATATTTGCACATACATTTACGTAAGTCGTGAATTAGTGTTATAGATTACTTATTGACCGGATATGAAGCTGTAGTAGCTGAAACAGCCTCTTGTCGAGTAGCGAAGACCACGATAGGCCAGCTACCGTCTTGCACACTCACATGTGATGTGTTGTGGTGTGTAACCACAAAATGTACAGTATGGACTCCGCCGTTGCGTTGCACTATTGTAGCCCTACGATAGGAAGGGGCAGGAGTCTCAATAAAGCGCATACATACATACCTCTATAATCTAGTAGCTATTTATTAATGTATCTTGGATGTTTCTCTACCTAACGTTATGTTGTCTACTGCCTTGGCAGCAATAGTAAAATGTGGCAAACGCTGAGATGTTTTGCGTCTTGCTGTAAGTCGTCCTAGTTAGTATGTACAATTGGCTATAATAACAGCGATAAATGTTTCTACAAAATTGATATGGTTGGGATTGCGCTATTTGTCGATCGGCGCATGGTACATGCTTGAAGAGAAGAGTTCTATAGATGTTATAAGAGCAGAGTCCCAAAGTATTGCTCGCTCGTTGTTTAAAGTAGTAGCTGGACCTTGGCTGCGAAGGCTAATGAATTCGATCATTAGTTGGAAATGTGCCATCGTGAGTATTGCAATCTGTTATTGGTGTCCAAATATCTTAGTATTTTTCTCCACGAATGAACCATGTGACATCTCCTTTAGATACTATAGATAACTCGGCTCCACAGCGTATGAGTTCGTTGGAACTGAGCTATGTCCTCCACCGTGCGACGTGCGTCGACAACACCGACCGCTCAGTGTATTGGCCACCACTTGTGAACATTCAGTAAATTTGGTCCTTCAGTCAGTCTGGACTCAGGAGTTTCTGACTCTCTCTGGGATTCTGGCCTGAAAGATTGACAGATTGTATTTGTTTACAATTTTGTGTAAATGAACCGTCGCGTACTCCCGTTTTTATAGGCTTGAAATTTAAACTGACCATACATAGCGGCATAACCTACATAAGCTTTCTTGTACATAAGATGAAAATAAAATTGGTCTCGGCTCAAGTCTCAGACTCAGACAGATTCGGACACTAGACTCCAGAGTGAGACTCAGTCAAATACATATCTCGAGTATGAAATAAGATAATATCAAAATACGTTTGTTTTTTTTTGGTCCTTTTTTATACAGGTGTTGTTATATAAATTACACAATTGACGTAAAGAATGTTTATATGTACATTTAAATACTTTTGTTTCTATTCAAAACATGTCAGCAAACATTTTTGAGCCTGATCCAACATTTGTCCGTGTGCCCGATATCGGCACTCGAACTGGGCAATGTCCCTCGTGTGGTATATCTAAGCCGTCGAAGGTGAGATACTGCTTCAACTGTTATGACCGTGCTGGGGGGATTTCCAACCAGCGCGAGTGTGTCACTTGTCAAAAGTATAGTTACCAACCCGAATACAATGCATACGACTGGGCATCAAATGCACCAGCTTCATGCACCTACTGTGTGCCTGCCACCGGCGCTACGAACACGCGAAGTGGAGCTGCTAGCAACCGCTGCGAATGCTCTGGATGCCGGATTAAGCTTGTCTGTGGCATGCTTCAGTCCAGGTGAGTGGAAGGTGGACCTTTCCCTTTCCATTTACAGCGGTCAGCGGTCACAACGCGCATAGCATTCACAGCCTTCACAGCCTTCACAGCCTTCCGAACGGTTTGAGGCAGTGCCGAATGAATGCGAGAGACGTCAAACTACTGCAACTTGCTACAGATATCCCGGGGGAGTTGTGCTCTGTTACGCCTGCGAACCGCCACAAAGATGTCTAGAACAATTGCAAAGTATGTTGTCGCGTAATTCTGGAATGACAACTTTGCAAATACACGAGCAGATTACCGCCGCCATTCTAGGATCGTTAGAAAGTGAGGAGATGCGGGGAGTAATCATGAGTACCGAACGCTTCGATTTCATGTATGAGCGCGAAGGATGCGATCGTATTTCCGGCAATATAGTGGAATGTGCATCACTTAACCAATGTTTCTTGGGTGGAGTATTTTCAGGCGGACGTGAGGTGCTGTTGTGTACTATATGTCATAATGACTTGAGTGTGCAAGTAGACAGTCCGGGTGACGTTGGCCTCGGGATCGGTTTGTTCTCGTACGCTGTAGCTCCTATCATTGATAGACTCCGCAATGGAGCCCTGGCGTGCTTCCAGCTGGAGGCATGTAAGCACTACTTCCATCCTAAGTGTTTGCTACATATGTTCTGCAGTACGAAGAGGGTAAGTGTCCCACTTGCAGGGCATCAATATCTAAGATGGAGGCTTGATTTGAGTAGGAGTCGAGTAAAGAGTATGTATCTAAAAAAGAATCTCTCATAGTCACAACCACGTAATAGACGCAGTCAATTAGTTTATCTCTAGATGGGCTTTCCACGCATGAACACGTATTTGAAATGATGGATGGAAATGTCAATTAAAAAACTCCCGGATAGTAGTAACCAGTGAAGAACAAGATGATGGTAAAATAAGAAGTGCGACTATTAGAACGTATTTAGTAGCCGGTGGGCGCTCCCATACGAGTCCTAATTTTTTTTGTCATCACAAAGATATTTATATCATACATACATTGATATTTAGCAACTATGTACATACTTCATATGATTTTTCATTACAAAAATTAGTATGTACATACAGTAGTTTACTTCTATATATGTATATATATATATATATATATGTATGTATATTTATGTGTGTGTGTGTGTGTGTGTGTGTGTGTGTGTGTGTGTGTGTGTGTGTGTGTGTGTGTGTATATATATAT